GGAAGAGGGTCCAGTGTATGGCTATTAGTTCCACTTACAAAGTCCGCTTCTCTCTTTGAGAACGTCACATCAAATGTCTGAGTCAATGACTTACTGGCTCAGATTCCAGACAAAGCTGGGCTTCAGGCTTTAAAATCGCTGACCTTTGATGCAGACGCACTGGGCCACCACTTGCCTCTGTTCCTGATCATGCTTTCCGGCACCGCCCCCACCCCCGCGCCCCGTCACGCCCCGCCAAGTTTCTCCGTCTCTCAGCAATCAATCTGATTTGATTAGGGAGAGGCTTCCTCGGCAAGCATCTCTCTGAGACACTATCTAAACTCTCACATTTGGCTTTCCAGTCTTGGCGCTCTCCAGAGAAACCAGAGAACCAGGATAATCAGGCTGGGCCCCCTGGGAAGAAAGAGAGGGGACAGCGTCCCCAGGATCTGCCCCCCACCATTCACTCCTCCTCTCGCTCATGTCTCACACTTTCATGACCCCTGTGCCAGCCAGCAAACTTCCTGCTCTCTAAGGATTTTGTGAGTCAGTGCCACCGGCTTCTTTTCCATCCTTGAAAGGGGATCCTGATGTTCACAGCCTGGTGGTGTATTTATGCTCCTTTGAAGCCTGACTGTGAGCTTGTGTTTTTCAAGATAAAAGTATTTCATGTCCCTGGAATTTACCGGCTACCTTTTGGTGTAGCACTTTTTCTGCAAAGCCTTTGGTGATCCAGTCCCCTTGAAAAGGGGGCCGGCATTTGTGGGTGGCTAGCGATAGTTCTTTTCATAGGAGTTGAGTGAGAAAATAAATAAAATTCAGGTTTTTGAAAGGAAGAGGCAGAAGAAAGTGAAACAGTTTGGAATGAAGACCCCTTCTTTTTCTAAGTCTCCAGTTTTTCTCATGATCTGCCATTTTCAGTTTGGTAGATGGTCCCTGAGCTACAGGCAGGGAAAGAAACAGGGGAGACCGAAGCGGAGGGATGATGCTGTGGCTCTCACCAGAGCGGAGGGCGGCCTGGCAGAGAGGCACGGGATTGACCGGTAGCGTCACCCCGACGTCCGGGTTCTTCTCTGGAACCTGGCAGTGATGTTCGAGCTGTAATACTGGATTCGTAGTAAGGTAACACCAGATGCTTTTCTTTGAAATGTCTGGCATTTTCGTAGGATAATAGAGTAGAAAAGGACTGTGTTAGGCACTGCACACTGTCTGGTACATCGGGGTTATATCCCAATAAACCCATGTTAAGTTGAAAACATCGTAAGTTGAGGATGCATTTGATGCATCTAACCTACCGAAGGTTGTAGTTTAGCTTAGCCTCCCTTAAGTGCTCAGAACACTTCCATTCACCCAGAGTTGGGCAACATCATCTACCACAAGGCCTATTTTATGATAAAGGGTTGACTGTCCCATGTAACCGATTGAATACTGTACTGAAAGTGAAGGACAGAAGGGCGGCAAGAACGGGATTGGCTGTTCGCCCTCACGATGGCGTGGCTGCCCGCCCCACCCAGCCTCCTTACAGAGGATTGCACCGCAAGGCGCTCGCAGGGAAAAGCCCCCAACTCAAAATTCAAAGTACAGTTTCTACCGAGGAGTGTGGCTTTGACATCATCATAAAGTCGAGAAATCCCAGGTTGAACCACCATTAAGTCAGTGACTGTGATTGGAACTGAAAGCACCTCTTGCCCGGGTGTTCCCTGGTCCCTGAAGGCAGGACCCTCCGTTCCCTGCACCTCCATCCCTCTCTGCCGGCTCCGTATTCTTCTCCTTCCTTTAGGCACATGTGAAAGACAACTGATTCAAATCGAAACATCACCTCGGAGCTACTTTGGAAAGGAAATTAAAATGACTGCCCTTCGTTCCATTTGAGGCACAAGGAAAAGAACGTTCCTTAGTTTCACTCCTGGCGACCACTACTTGAAGACTTAAAGGAAGACATTCTTCAGGACATACTGGTCTTCTTCTGCCACAGGAGAGGGTCTCTTGAGTGGTGACTTATATTCCATAAGTATGATGGCTAATTTGCTGGAGAGACCTAGCAATGGCCTCGTTCTAGGCTAGGGTTTTGAGCTTGACTTGGAGGAGGTCATATGAACTTTTGTAGGGCCAGGAAGCCTTTTCTCTTCTCCGAGTGACATATGTCTGGGCTTCAGCCGAGGCAGAAATGGGCCACTGTATTAAGCTGGCCCAGGCTTCTGCGGCTGGCTTGGGAGCTGAGGCCCTGGTCCTTACGGTAATCTGCACAGCATCTCCCGGACGCCTTCCTCTTGGGCATCACCGCTTATTCACACAGCTCACTCTCTTATTCCAAAGGATGATGGCACAGGGGCAAGGTGACACTGGCTGGTTGAGAGAACCCTACAGATTCTTCTGAAGCAGCTGGGACGTGGGCAGGATGACTTGTGCTGAGCCTCGATCTGGGCAGGCGTCTGCGGGGGTCCCTGCACCTTGCTGGGCCCTCGGCCTACACAGGGGCCTGCGGGGGTTCCCAGCACTGCCCTGCGCTGTGCTGAGCCTTGATCTGGGCAGGCGTCTGCGGGTGTCCCTGCACCTTGCTGGGCCCTTGCTCTTGGCCACCTCCCGGCTTGCTCCAGCCTCCCTCATTCAGCGTCTCTGTGTCACCACATATGTTCAGTCAGCTGTTCAGAGGCAGGAACGATTCAACAGCGTGGAGAGCTCTGGGTGTGAAGGCTGCTTAGGAAAGTATTAAAGCCCAGTCTCATTAGCCACTTTAGCGTGCCCAGGAGAACACAAGTAATTGGTAATTCTTAATAGCTATCAGTCGGGAGCTTTAATCACACACCCTACAACCATTTATTGAGTCCCTACTATGTGCCAGGCTCTGCAGGGAAGGCTAGGGGCATAGGAGCAAAGGAGACTAGGTTCCACATCTCAGCTGCCATCAACCAGGCAGAGGAGACCAAGAGCTGCAATGTAGTAGGTTGAGTTCTCTGCCCAAAGTTGCAGAAGGCACTCAGTCTACTGCGGGGCGGTGAGGGGTGGCGGGGGACCAAGGGCTGCCAGGAAGACAGACACCTGGATATTTCTCCTGTTGCACCTGGCCATCAGAGGAAGGACCCCAGGTCCCTCTGCCCTGGACCCTAGGCCTACCTCCCTGATGCTGCTTTAGATTACTCCACATTGAAGCCACCACTGTCTCCCTCCATCTCCTTGGTAAGATGGCATGCCTTCCCACGGCTCTGAAGTTCACTGGTATCATTAGTATATTAGTTAACCTTTTTGAAACTTGATTTTGACTATTCCAGGCCCAGTCAGATCCAGATTGTTTCCAATTCCTATGTCATTTTATGGGGGTACGGGAAGGTGGAGGAGCATTTTGCACCCACACCTTCCCCAGTATAAACCCTCTATGCAGCCCAACTCACCCCACGCGAATCTGTCTCTGCCCCACCTACCGCCCCCCTGCACAGACCTGCCCTCGCACTAACTTCTGCCTCGGCATCCTTCCTCCCTCCGGAAGCTTACTGCCTGCCATGCGCCCCCACCCACCCCGCCCTGCCTTTCATACCTATTCAGGTCCTGGGCCTCTGCAACATCTGGTTCGTTCTATCCAATCCACAAACGTTTCCTGATATGTTTCTTTGTACCTCCCCTATTTCTTTTTGTCTCAGAACAGAGTTTGTCCCCACACTTGGCCTTTGGGGAGTGGAAAGCCAAGAGGTATGTGGCCCTGTTGGGTTCCTGCAGGGTGAGGGGTAGCATATCCTTTAAAGGACAAAGGACTTGTCCTTACAGTAAGTTCCTGCCTTCTCTCCTTGCAGGATGGAGACCCACTTCTAAGTGGAGGCACTTAGAAACACAAGGTCACTCACTCACTGTCTCCTCAGGGGTAATCATCACACTGAGCAGAGAGGGAAGCAACTGGTGTCATTCTTTTCGCTCCCTGGCTGCCTTCTTTGAGGAGAGTGGGTACAGGTAAATTTGTTACATATTTTAGCAAGGCTGCCATAGATTACTAGGTTTACCATGTGATTTCTTGCCCAAGCCAGGACATTTTGAGAATGTTCTAAAAATAATTAACAGGCATTACGTGGTCTATGACAGATGTAATCCGGGACTCTCCTGGGCAAACCAGGATATGTGTTCCACCTGCAGAAAATACTGGGTGCTCAGGGACCCTCAGCACTCCTCTGTTACGCTTGTCACTCGGGGACTGCTTTCTATTCAGCCTGATTGCAATTTCCCGCATCCATTCAATAAAACATCCATGAGCCAGACCCTGAGGACAGCCCTGTGAAGATGAACCCTACCCTCGTGAAACTCACATTCTAGTAGAAGAGGTGGAAGGTAAACAAACAGGTAGAAAATATGGTATCAGGTAGAAATGAGGTCTGAAAAGAAAACTAAAGCAGATTCAGGTACGAGGGAGAGAGATGTGGTGGGTGGAGAGGAAAGACGTCTCTGCAGGAGCTTCCCAGCGGGGCCAGGAGGAAGGGACCGTGGCAGCAGGCTGGGAGACGGGGAACAGAACGAGAAGGGAGGATGAGAAAGAGAACAGAGACGGGCTGGGTTAGGCCTTCGTGCCACAGAACGCTTGACTATTACTCTGAGCGGGAGGGGAAGTCTTTGGAAGGTTTGTGTAGGGGAACACAGCGATCTGATTTACATCTTTAAAAAAAATCACTCTGGCTCCCAGTGGAGGAACGCCCTGTCAAGGGGCAAGAAGGGGAAAAGGAGACCAGACTATTGCAATCACACAGTTGCAAAACGATGGGGTCACAGGCCAAGGGGAAGGGGTGCGAAGGGGGTGAGGAGGGGCTGGACTCAGGAAACATGGTGGAGGTGGAGTCTCAGGGCCTTTGAGCCTGGCTGGCATGAGATACGTGCACTACGCCAAGACCCTGGGCAGGACTCGCCCCCAGCCGGTCCAGCCGCACCCTGGGCTCCTTCCCAGGCATGTTCTCAGTGTGTCCTGGAAGGCGTCGCCTGGCATCTGGACACCAGGCACTCGCTGCTCTGGTCCTCTCGGGCAGGAGGGGGAGGCCCTGCGTCCTCACCTTTGGCTCTGTGATCTTCCTCCTTGGGACATCTGCCTCCTTCCCACCATTTGCGCTTCAGAATTTCCAGGCGGTTGTTCTCCTGCAGCTGGAGAATGGCTAGATCGAACTCGTCTCGGAAAACCGAACCTGTGGGGTCACAGGAGAGTCCAGCACACAGGACATGAGCGCCCTCGTACGCACCACGCTGCCCCTTTTCCCAGGAAACCTCCTTGCCCCTCTGCCCACTTAACAGCAGGAGGGAGGGGACAAATGTGGCTGGGGTCCCCGCAGGGGCATGGCTGTCTATTGTGTACATTCTGAGGACTCTCCGTGAAGCAGGGGGAGCCCTGGCTTCTTGCAGGGCACTCAGGAATTCCTACTTCCCTTCCCCCCATGCTGGCGGGCATGTTCGTCCATTGCCAAGACCCAGTGTGTGGGTCAAGCTACAGCTTGGTGCCCCTCCGCCTCCCCACTTAGGTGCCACCACTTTCTACCCAACATGCAGGAGCCTGGTCTTCTCCGGGAGGCCAAGGAGGTAAATCTTCTGTGACATAAATGTCTCAGTTGGTCAGCCGTCTGTTTTCTACTTTATTTACATTAACTTCTCAGGCACTTGTGACTCTTACTACCTTGCACCTGGCAATAGTTTATCCAAAGCCATTACCCACGAGAGAGGGGACACCCCAGAGTGTGAGGGCAGCCTTGCTGTCTCCGCGCATGTGGGGCATCCAGCCCCCAGGCACCCCAACCCTCAGAGCTGCCTGCTGAGCACCCCAGAACCCGCTGTCCCTATCCATCACCCCATTTACACTGTTCCTCCCACCCTCCTCAGACAGAAGGCTTCTGTTCAATGCAATTCTTTTTAAAATTTTCTGATGGAATATGGTCAAGGAGCTTTGGGTCTGGAATTCTGGTTTAATCACAAAAACAGGCTTAAATGAAATACTGGAAAGCCTGATGTCCCAGCACAGGCTGAGGCACGAGACCATCAAGAGAAAGCTGCCAGGAGGCAGGAAATCACCTAGGCTGCCAGTGTTCCTGCCCGAGCTCTGCGAAGGCCGGAGGCAGACAGATGCCCCAGGGAGACAGGCTGTGACGAAGGATCCAGGCAGAAGCTTGGAACAAACAGGCTCACGTGCACAGGAATCACCAGGGGATCCTGGTGACCTGCAGATTCTGACTGAATGGGTCTGAGGCAGGGCCAGGGAGTCTGCATTTCTAGCAAGCTCCAAGGGGATGATGCCCAGCCTCTGGGCCATCGCCTACATTTTGACAGGCCAGGAACTAGCTCGGCTTCCAGGACTCTGACTCTTTGGACTCTGACAGCCCGTGACTCCCCAGATAGTACCTCCCTTCCTGCAGAAACAATGCTTGGGCATGCAGAGCAGAGCCCACTCCCGCAGCACTGAATGTGTCTGTGCAGCTGACGTGGGGGAACTTGAGCAGCACCTCACGTATAGCAGGTCCTTAACATACACCTGCAGCGAATGGCTACTTGAACTGACAGAGGGTGTTAGGTGGTGAGACTAATGAATGCTCTAGGTTTAGAGACAACTGCCAGCCCAGCTAGACATTTCAAGCAGTTTTCAAGGCATTTTCAACCCAGCTTCAACAGTACACCAGGGGCCCCATGAAAGGATTATTCTGCTACTCTACATTCACCTACTTAGGTTCTAAACCACCTGACCACTTTTTCATACCATCCATCGTTCCATTTCTCTTAATGTTCCCAGGTCCAACCACATTGTTATTCCATACTTATGCCCTCACCTTGCACTTAAGATTGATACGCAAGCTTGTCTTTCCTGGGCATAAAACCTCAGCTGAACCCAAGCACTGTCTCATCAGTGGACCATGCAATGCTCTGCCAGCCTGCTCTGAGAACCTGGGCCGCCCCACAGTTCACGTGCCATCTCTCCTGTGCTGTCGAGCTGGGGGGGACCCCTTTGGCAACATGGCCTGGTAAGCAAAGTAGTGGATTTGGAGACAGGCAGCCTAGGCTCAAGCCAACTTCTCTACTTATTCTGACCTTGGACCAACAACTTACTGATGCTAAATCTCAGTTCTATTCTCTAGAGTGGGAAGGAAGGATCACGTCTCCCTTGCAAGTGGGACGATTAAGTGAGATAACATGTGAAAAAAGCATCGTGAGAATAGAGAACAAACACATTTCCCTCTTTTTCCTTGGTTATTAATGAAAATTTCTAGAGTCAGTCTGCTTTAGGTCAAATGAAGACTTTTAAAGCATTTGACATTTCAGCTCAATTTGTGAAATCGCTAGAGTATTATCAAGGCACACCTTAAGTTCACTTTGTGATTCACTCCACCATCTTGAAACAAAATGTCAGCCAGTAAATTTCTCAAAGGGACCCCTAATCTGTAACATTAATGGGCATCAATGTAACATGATGGTAAGCGGAAGGTAAACAGGTTTATGAGTACCCCGAGTGAGACTTCTGGTTTACAGAACTGCCAGCATCAGAATTTACGGACTATTGCCTAGGTTCACTGGCTGGGTTTCTGATCAGTCTTTGAGAATTCATCTGCTTCCATCAGGTAACACAAGGAACTATGGAACAGATGGGGAGGGGACTGATGTTCCCCCAAACAGGCTAAGTGTGAGACACGTGGTAAGGCATCTGGCCACACGATTACCTGGCTCACAATAACCCTATGAAGTAGGTATTGGAAACCAAACTTTACAAATAGATAACTGAGACTCAGAGAGGTCCAGTATCCTGTCCAAGTCCCACAGCCTGGGAGGGTGCATTCCCAGGTCTGCCTGATTCCATGGTCTTCATACTTCACAGGCCTCGGTGAAGCCCACAGTTTGTAGAGATCTGAGTTAGGTGGAGGTCAAGACGACGGATGCTTAAGAGAACAGCTAAGAGGCACGTAGTATATATCAATTTCCCCACATGATCTAACGGCCTCATTTCCTGCTTCTTCCCCTGCTGCCTTGCACAGCACAGCCCTGGATGAGGAGAGCCCTACACACGTGGCTCTCAAGAGTGTGGAGGGAAGAGAGCCCGTCCAAATCATGCAGGGAACATTTTCGGATCCCCTCCACCATCACAACAAGCAGCTAAAAGTGTTCCTAACCGCAGGCGGAAGCCTGAAGCATGAACACCCTTTAGAAAGCACAGCTGGGGTACCTTTCTGGAAGCCAAACACCTCCGTCCAGCAAGCTGAACAGCAGAGCTCTTTCACCCATTCTCGAGTACCTGTGCTGACTCAGAGCACTTGGCTCTGTGAGATCTACAAACGATCTGTAAGCTACAAACACGGTGGCCCCCCTTTGTAGCAAACGTTCCCCCGGGGAAACTAGCAGCACAATTAATTCATCTGAGTTTTACCATCTCTCCTTCCTTCTCACTGCTAGCAGAGATGTCAATCAACAGAGAAATGGCCAAAGGGCAGGAAGCAGAAGAGAAGAGAACAAAAGGCCTCAAGAATCCACAGAGGGCATCAACGCATACTTTAATACTTAATCAATTAATAAATAATCAATTAGCCCTTCAGTTAAGGACTGAGAACTGATCGCTGATTAGTGGACGCACTGTGCCTATTTATTTATTTTAACCTTGAGAATGCCCACCTAAAGGCACAGTCAAACCGGCCCTGGAATAGGGGCTGCTGAATTCAGGGCCGGCTGCGGTGGCTCTAGCTCCTCGGACCCTGCCTGGAAGAAGCTACCCCAAGAGGCTGCGCCTCTCCTGCATACCGACTGGCATGCCAATCCCATAGCCCTTGGTGTCCAGCAGGCCCCCAATCTGAGTGAGGTTGCAGTTTCGCTGCCGATAGTACTCATTCATGGTGGACTCCAGAAGGAAGGCGTAGTTGGAATTCAACACCCTGGCGATTCCCTCCTCTGTGCTCTTCACAAACACACTCGGCTGCTTGGAATACATGTAGTTCCACATACGCTGGTAGGTCTGATAGCGGGAATTCTGGGAAAAGAACAGAAGGAAGCAGGATTGGGAGAAGAGAAAGGACACGCTGGTTTAAACAAGGGAAAGAACCAAAACGGATCCTAAAATGTTGGCCCTTCTGCTCCTCAGTTCCCTCAAGACTGTCAGTAACCTCTTCCCTTCTGTCTCTCGGCTGCCTTGGCACAAGGGAGGTGGGTGGGTGTTGTGCGCATTTGACAGCTTTTACAGAAAGACACAGACGGAACAAGCAGGTCCCAAGGTACCATACACTCTGCCTACTGGTTTGGTAATTGGTTTTGGCACATCTGCCCTGGGAGGTCCCCCACTGCCAACCTCCACGCTCCCGCAGAAGTCAGAGTGGCAATTCTAGCTGTGTCCTTCGGTGTCCTTCAGGCTGGAGCAGGGAACACAGGTTCATTCAAGACTTCTAAGGAGACGTCCTCTGAAGGAGCAATGCCAGCTATTTCCTATCAATCCTAAGCCAGTTTATCAATTCTACATCTGACACTGGCTTCTATTTTACAAATAATAACAAGACTGAGACTGAGTGAATTCTGGGGGGTCTATCCAAACCCTGTGTTTGCAGGATGCCCCCACTGGTCCCTATGCTGACAGGCACTGAGACGTGCATGGAAAACAGAAAACTGAAGGCTGTGGACTGTGAAAATGTGAAATGAACTTCTTGGGTAGTAGGCTGGTTACACACCTATTAACTCCAGGGGAAACCTGCTCCCCTAGAGATCTTGAGGGATATGAAAACTAGCATCTGTCTGGCCTGGCCGGGTCAGCGGTGATCAGTTGCTTGGTCTGCCAGCTCACACACCATCGTGGCAAGGCCTCCTCCCGAATATTGCAACGAAACCTCAAAGAAGGCAAAGGGTTCCCATCTGAGACTTACCTAGTCTGGGATCAATGACCCCAGTTCATATGAATCTAGTGTTCACACCTGAGTCATCTGTGTATTATTCTAATCTTGCTTTGTGTAAATATTACCTATTAAGTTCAACCCACTTTACAAACTTTAAAAATATATGAGCCTCATGCTATGCAGCAATATTAATAAAAGTACAGATTAGAGTCCCTGCATTTATACATATATTTTCTCATTAAATACTCATTAAAAAAAACATGAAACTATTGCAATTAAAAAATAGTTCTGCCACATTGTACCTAAAAGTCACCTCAAGTACCACTAATCATTCATGCATGCTGCTTGGGGACAGGCTGATATTAACCCAAGTGCTTTTGGGACCTTATTCTGGGGTGTTTTGTGGAGCAGGAGAAAAATGAGCCCCGGGTGAACCTCCAGACTAGATGTTCAAAAGAGATAATGAGATGAGGACAGATGTTTTTATCTCCAGCAGACAAACATCTCAACTTAATTTTGCCCCATCCCCAGTGTTGGTGAGCAACCCGATGGGTTTACTTGGAAGAAGGTCATGCTGGAGCCTCCGTGAATTGTGCCGTACTCAATGGCGGTCTGATCAGCCAGGTCATCCACTGACTCAATGGGCACATCCATGCGCTGCACGGTCAGGAAGGCTGCCAGGTTGGCCGTGTAGGATGAGATGATGATCAGCGTGAATGCCCACCTACGCAGGAAAAGACCAGAAAGTCATCACTGCCCAGGCACTCCCGGGAGTCTCGGCCCCCATCCCCAGTCCTGCTGTGGTGCAGGGGAGACCAGGTGCCCTTCGTCTGAAGGAGCTCTCAGCTTAGCCGGGGAGGAGAAAGTAGGCAAGGGCATATGATGTCAACAGAAATGAATAGAGCTTGTGAGCGTGCTTGGAAGAAGACTGTTAATCTTTTTCTTATTTCCTAAAGGAGGTGATTATTGGTTTGTTCTTCAAAAGAGGTGTGTCCATGCACATGAGACAGTTGGGGAGAGTGGGAGAAATGAGCTAGTAAATGAGCAAGGGTGCCAGCTCTGGGGGCCCTGGGTATACAGCTAGAGCTGGGATGGCTCCCCGTCTCCTGGCAATGCAAACAACCTTCCGATGAACACTGACATGTACTGACGGCCTGCCATGAGCCACATGCACAATCTCATGTCCTCCCTGCAACCAAGGGAAGTAGAATTATTATCCCCATTTTACACATGGGGAAACTGAGGCCCAGGGAAGCACAGCAACACATTGTGCCAAGTAACTCATGAATGAATCCTTATTTTAAAATCAGTTCTACAAATCTTAATAGCAGAAACTCTTTAAGACTAACTGATGTCGAGCACCTTTGAACTGCTGAGAGGGTAAAATTAGAAAACACTTGTAGAACGGTCCTGCTGCTTCAAAATAGAAGGCTGCTTTATTGGGTAGATCGAACTCGTTTAAAATTAGAATACTTCTGTAATTCAGGCAGCATCCATGCTAATGCCATTAAAACCAGTTTGTGCACTTAAGTAGGTTAAACCAGCCTTCTACCATCTGTCAGCAGTGTGGGTCTGCATCCCAATCCATTTGTTTACAAGGTTCAAAGACATGTCTAAGCACAATGGAGGCTGGATAATCACAAACTCCGAATCAGTGGGGTCTGAATTAATGAGGCTTTACTCCTCGCAGAGACATTGCCAACTAAGGCCTAGTGTTCACCACAGGATTCAGAGGTGGCCGTTCAAGAGCGGGGAATCCCACTGCCCCCTCTGCCACTGTGCCCGAGGACTCCTGAGGGCTGCCCCCGAGGAGCGAGGTGACTGGGCCATACCCACCAACCTGCTAGGTGCATGCCTGTGCCAGACCCCTGGATCGGCGTGCCAGGTCACTGGGAAGGATCTGGTTTTAGTTCTGGCTTTGTCCCCCTCTACCTGTGAGACCCTGGGGAAAAGCCACATCCCTCTTCTGAGCTCGTCTGCTTGTCTAATAAACGGGGATAATACTGCCTGTCTGCTTATCTTCCAAGGGTTGTGAGATCAAACGAGATAACATGTCATCAATGACTAACACTCCGTAAAGGATTAGATGAGCTGGGATGGCTCCCCGTCTCCTGGCAATGCAAACAACCTTCCGATGAACACTGACATGTACTGACGGCCTGCCATGAGCCACATGCACAATCTCATGTCCTCCCTGCAACCAAGGGAAGTAGAATTATTATCCCCATTTTACACATGGGGAAACTGAGGCCCAGGGAAGCACAGCAACACATTGTGCCAAGTAACTCATGAATGAATCCTTATTTTAAAATCAGTTCTACAAATCTTAATAGCAGAAACTCTTTAAGACTAACTGATGTCGAGCACCTTTGAACTGCTGAGAGGGTAAAATTAGAAAACACTTGTAGAACGGTCCTGCTGCTTCAAAATAGAAGGCTGCTTTATTGGGTAGATCGAACTCGTTTAAAATTAGAATACTTCTGTAATTCAGGCAGCATCCATGCTAATGCCATTAAAACCAGTTTGTGCACTTAAGTAGGTTAAACCAGCCTTCTACCATCTGTCAGCAGTGTGGGTCTGCATCCCAATCCATTTGTTTACAAGGTTCAAAGACATGTCTAAGCACAATGGAGGCTGGATAATCACAAACTCCGAATCAGTGGGGTCTGAATTAATGAGGCTTTACTCCTCGCAGAGACATTGCCAACTAAGGCCTAGTGTTCACCACAGGATTCAGAGGTGGCCGTTCAAGAGCGGGGAATCCCACTGCCCCCTCTGCCACTGTGCCCGAGGACTCCTGAGGGCTGCCCCCGAGGAGCGAGGTGACTGGGCCATACCCACCGACCTGCTAGGTGCATGCCTGTGCCAGACCCCTGGATCGGCGAGCCAGGTCACTGGGAAGGATCTGGTTTTAGTTCTGGCTTTGTCCCCCTCTACCTGTGAGACCCTGGGGAAAAGCCACATCCCTCTTCTGAGCTCGTCTGCTTGTCTAATAAACAGGGATAATACTGCCTGTCTGCTTATCTTCCAAGGGTTGTGAGATCAAACGAGATAACATGTCATCAATGACTAACACTCCGTAAAGGATTAGATGTGAGATGCACAGATACGTAGAGCTAGACCGTCGCACTGAATGTGGGATGGAAATCATTCGGCACCTTCCCCATTTGTGACTCTAATTGCCAGGTGTCCTTCCATCCTGAGACCTGCTTTCCCGGTCCTGCCTCAGCACATACGCTGTTGGAAGCTGATCCTCATGACCATCCGCCAGAGGCGGCCAGCGTGAGAGGCCTGTGGGTGGAGGCCAGCATTCCGACGCTGCTTCGCTCCACGGGCTCGTGCCATGGGTCAGTGGGTCCAAGGTGAGGACCTGACCTCAGACTTGGCTGGCGAGGTTCCCTCAGCCCCATGGCTACACTCTGGCACCTGTTCCACCCTGGGTGGCCACGTGGCTGTTTGGGAATGGGCCAGAGAGCGTAAGTAGATCAGTGCAAGTCCACTGCCTCTGCTGAGAAAGCGAATCACGCCACACTCCCTCGGGTCAGTGGAGCCTTGCCCGGGTGTGCGAGGGACACTGCCAGCCGGCATACTATAAAGCCAGCCTTCTTGTCGCCACCTGCTCTGGCTGAGGAACCAAGGCAGGCTGTGACGGGCCCGTCTGCTGACTCTCCATTCCCCCAGGGAACTGGCCAAACTGAGGCCCTGCTTTGGCAACTAAGAACTCTGGGAGGCAGAGAGGCGCCCTGACAGCTCAGAGTCAGGGCTGGGGTGCCCCCTCCCACGCACCACGCTCTGGGTAGAGTGACCGGGACACCTGGGCCCACCTACAGGAGCACCGCTGAGCTGGTGGGCCGGGGCAGAGCAGCCTGCGGGACAGGTGGGCCCCTGCCACGCTCAGGCGGCCGCTGCCGGAGGAGGGGATTCCTGCGGGGGCGGGGAGCTGACGGGTGGGCGACAGGCAATGGGAACCGACTCTCGGCATGTGGGAACAAGCACCCTTTGGAAAGAAAAGCCCCAGGGAGGAAAAAAATCACAACCTGCTGCTGACTTCTTTTCACCCCCAGGTCTTCTGCCCAGACTGGCTGGGTTTTGAGGCAGCTCTGCCACCACTAAGAGAATCCCTTCTGGGGAACCTGAGACCCAGTTCTGCATGCTGACAGCTCCGTGGATTCTGGGCCCTCTCTGGTGATGCGGGAGCACCCTGCCCAGTGCTTAAAATCCTACTGCCCACATCATGTATCAGGGGAGATGAGAAACCCTGCTGGGACAGGGTCTCGGTCCCAGCTCTGTCCACCCTGCCACCAGCCTGTGGCTAGTGGGTCCTTGGGTAACTGTCCCGACCTCCCTCTGCCCCCGGCCCCAGGGCCCCAGGGTGGAGGACCCACAGAGGCTGAGGAGGAGGGAGAGAACCAAGGTGGTCAGTTCCACGAGCTGTGACAGCCAAACCTAACTGGGTTTTCAAGTGAGGACAGGGAACAAGTACTCGGCAAACCCACCTCCCTCGGCCGTAGATGTATGTCACCTCCCCCATGGTGGTCTAATAGCGATTACTAGTCCCTGAACTTACACAGCACTTTCAAGTTGTCATGGCGCTGCCCCACCCCTCGTATCAAATCATTCAACCATGTTCTTTTTGCCCTGAATGAGCCGAGAGAAGGGAGTCTCAGGCAGAGGCTGGTGGGCCGCCCCTGTGCACCAGAGGCTGGGCTACTTGTGTCCACTTGCTCGGTGAGGTCCTGTCCAACTCTGAATGACTAAGAGCCTGCGTTTCCCCACACTTGCTGAGGGAGACAGGTCCAGCAAGCCCCGAAGCCAGGTGCACAGGGATGAAGCTCTAGAGCTGGTAGAGGGCACACGAAGGGGCCTGAATTCCTCCTGTGAGGACTTCCCGCGGGGCGCATATAGTTGCATAAATCTGCATGTGGCTCAGCCGACCCTGCCACTCAACCCCAGGTCATTTTCAGGTCAAGATGTTCTAACTGCTTCCCTGTGGGCCTGCACGGCTCTCTTCTCATCTCATCTCCCTACGTTGGAGGCGGAGCAGAAAGGGGAAAGGGATAAGCTGGCACAAAGCATGCCCACCCACGGCCCCCAAACCTTCTGAGCTGGCAGAGTGCAGCCCAGCTCCCCGTAGTCTGTTCTGGAAGGCAGAAGTGATGGGCTCTCCTACAGCAGTGCCAAGGCCCCTGTCTACCTGAGCGGGGCTCACACGAGGAACCCCCCGCCCCGCGTCCCCGCCCCACTCTGCCCAGCCCCAGCCAGGTCACTGGGAAGGATCTGGTTTTAGTTCTGGCTTTGTCCCCCTCTACCTGTGAGACCCTGGGGAAAAGCCACATCCCTCTTCTGAGCTCGTCTGCTTGTCTAATAAACGGGGATAATACTGCCTGTCTGCTTATCTTCCAAGGGTTGTGAGATCAAACGAGATAACATGTCATCAATGACTAACACTCCGTAAAGGATTAGATGTGAGATGCACAGATACGTAGAGCTAGACCGTCGCACTGAATGTGGGATGGAAATCATTCGGCACCTTCCCCATTTGTGACTCTAATTGCCAGGTGTCCTTCCATCCTGAGACCTGCTTTCCCGGTCCTGCCTCACCACATACGCTGTTGGAAGCTGATCCTCATGACCATCCGCCAGAGGCGGCCGGCGTGAGAGGCCCGTGGGTGGAGGCCAGCATTCCGACGCTGCTTCGCTCCACGGGCTCGTGCCATGGGTCAGTGGGTCCAAGGTGTGGACCTGACCTCAGACTTGGCTGGCGAGGTTCCCGCAGCCCCATGGCTACACTCTGGCACCTGTTCCACCCTGGGTGGCCACGTGGCTGTTTGGGAATGGGCCAGAGAGCGTAAGTAGATCAGTGCAAGCCCACTGCCTCTGCTGAGAAAGCGAATCACGCCACACTCCCTCGGGTCAGTGGAGCCTTGCCTGGGTGTGCGAGGGACACTGCCAGCCGGCATACTATAAAGCCAGCCTTCTTGTTAGTGACAGGGCGTGTCCCGCCACCTGCTCTGGCTGAGGAACCAAGGCAGGCTGTGACGGCCCGTCTGCTGACTCTCCATTTCCCCAGGGAACTGGCCAAACTGAGGCCCTGCTTTGGCAACTAAGAACTCTGGGAGGCAGAGAGGCGCCCTGACAGCTCAGGGTCAGGGCTGGGGCGCCCCCTCCCATGCACCACGCTCTGGGTAGAGTGACCGGGACACCTGGGCCCACCTACAGGAGCACCGCTGAGCTGGTGGGCCGGGGCAGAGCGGCCTGCGGCACAGGTGGGCCCCCGCCACGCTCAGGCAGCCGCTGCTGGAGGAGGGGATTCCTGCGGGGGCGGGGAGCTGACGGGTGGGAGACAGGCAATGGGAACGGACTCTCGGCATGTGGGAACAAGCACCCTTTGGAAAGAAAAGCCCCAGGGAGGAAAAAAAATCACAACCTGCTGCTGACTTCTTTTCACCCCCAGGTCTTCTGCCCAGACTGGCTGGGTTTTGAGGCAGCTCTGCCACTACTAAGAGAATCCCTTCTGGGGAACCTGAGACCCAGTTCTGCATGCTGACGGCTCCGTGGATTCTGGGCCCTCTCTGGTGATGCGGGAGCACCCTGCCCAGTGCTTAAAATCCTACTGCCCGCATCATGTATCAGGGGAGATGAGAAACCCTGCTGGGACAGGGTCTCGGTCCCAGCTCTGTCCACCCTGCCACCAGCCTGTGGCTAGTGGTTCCTTGGGTAACTGTCCCGACCTCCCTCTGCCCCCGGCCCCAGGGCCCCAGGGTGGAGGACCCACAGAGGCTGAGGAGGAGGGAGAGAACCAAGGTGGTCAGTTCCACGAGCTGTGACAGCCAAACCTAACTGGGTTTTCAAGTGAGGACAGGGAACAAGTACTCGGCAAACCCACCTCCCTCGGCCGTAGATGTATGTCACCTCCCCCACGGTGGTCTAATAGCGATTACTAGTCCCTGAACTTACACAGCACTTTCAAGTTGTCATGGCGCTGCCCCACCCCTCGTATCAAATCATTCAACCATGTTCTTTTTGCCCTGAATGAGCCGAGAGAAGGGAGTCTCAGGCAGAGGCTGGTGGGCCGCCCCTGTGCACCAGAGGCTGGGCTACTTGTGTCCACTCGCTCGCCGAGGTCCTGTCCAACTCTGAATGACTAAGAGCCTGCGTTTCCCCACACTTGCTGAGGGAGACAGGTCCAGCAAGCCCCGAAGCCAGATGCACAGGGATGAAGCTCTAGAGCTGGTAGAGGGCACACTAAGCGGCCTGAATCCCTCCTGTGAGGACTTCCCGCGGGGCGCATATAGTTGCATAAATCTGCATGTGGCTCAGCGGACCCTGCCACTCAACCCCAGGTCATTTCCAGGTCAAGATGTTCTAACTGCTTCCCTGTGGGCCTGCACGGCTCTCTTCTCATCTCATCTCCCTACGTTGGAGGCGGAACAGAAAGGGGAAAGGGATAAGCTGGCACAAAGCATGCCCACCCACGGCTCCCAAACCTTCTGAGCTGGCAGAGTGCAGCCCAGCTCCCCGTAGTCTGTTCTGGAAGGCAGAAGTGACGGGCTCTCCTACAGCAGTGCCAAGGCCCCCGTCTACCTGAGCGGGGCTCACACGAGGAACCCCCCGCCCCGCGTCCCCGCCCCACTCTGCCCAGCCCCATCTGCGCCCCGGAGCTCACCAGACGCCACTGACACAGCGGGTGGACAAGGCTCGAGGGGCGATGGCGGAGCCCTGCTGCATGAAGCCCCCGACTGGAAACCAGAGGCTGTTGCCAAGGGAGTACTGGTTCACCAGGAGGCGGCACCGGCCCTGGGCGCAAGGGTGGGGGCTGTACCACTCGTAGGGGGTCAACCTGCGGAGAAAAGGGACATACACCGGTGCCGTGGCGGGTGGCCATGAAGGAAAGGGCACTGGGGAGAGTGGGGGGCTCCCCTTTCCGCCTCACCTCGGCACCGCAGCAACTGGCCTGTGGCCTTGGGTGAGTGGCTTCCCTTTGCTAGACTTGGATTTTCCCAACCGGAAAATGAAGAGGTCGGACTACACTGGTGATTTTTGAACTATTTTTCTTTAATCAAAGAAGCATTTGTATTTCTTTAAAGTCAGTTTTGATATGGAAGTCCAATATACGAAAGAGATGAAGGTGGAGCCTTCATCCATGACACAGAGCTGGTCTGGATGTAGAGGGGCTGAGGCCCCAGAGCTCTGGCTACCCAGCCTCTTCTCACCGCCCCTCCAAACTCCCAGGCCCTTCCAGGAGCCATCACCCTCCACGGAACCCTGTCTGAAAACCACTATCTTAAGTCAGATTATCGTAGGCTCAGATATTATGTATGTCTCTCCCTATATACACACGTATAGGCTGTATGGTCAGACCTTTAGTACATTGTTTGGTCCCTGTTTTTGTTAAAGCTGGATCCTGGGGGCAGGGTGTGTGTGTGTGTGTGTGCGCGTGCGCGCATGTGTGCGTGTTTGTGCATGCGTGTGTGTGTGCGCGCGCACGCACGCATGTGTGCGTGTTTGTGCATGCGTGTGTGTGTGTGTGTGTGTGTGTGTGCAGAACTTCCTAAAAGCAGCAGCAGACAGTGTGGTGAGGTGGAGAGGGGGTGTGTCATACAGCGTGCCAGCTCCTGCATGTCACTGACAACAGACACTTGACAGTGGCAAAGCCTAAGGGCCCAAAATGGGTAGGTGGCACCCAAGTGGAGCACACAGCAGCCTTTGAAGGTGACCAGGTTGGAAACAAGGCGTTTGTTTGGCTGGATCTTGTGGGCCCAGGACTTGCCTGAACTTGGCTTTGATCTCCACTAGGACAGGGGCAGACTGGGTGATACAGTGCCTCTGGGGCAGGCTGGGATCTGCCTTTGGGGGATAGGCGCCCTGCAGTTCCTTGGGGCTCTGAATAGACATGCTCCTGGGGAATACCCCAGCCTGCAGAGGTGGGACAGGTACTGCTGAATCATCCGGCCCTGCCCCCGTGGCTGGAGGCAAAGGAGATCACTGAGTGTCAGCTGCGCAGGGCCACTGTCAGCATTCTAGTTCAGCCTGAGCAGGGGGCAGGGATTCTGAGGGAGCGACCCACGGGCCGCAACGACTTGTTCTGCCTCTGCGTAGTCGGTTGGCTGCCCCGAAGCCCAGGCTGCCGGAGGGGTCTGAGCCTCAGAGAAACAGCCTCCCTGTGCATGTTTGTGGGGAGGCTTCAGCAAAACAGGATGCTCCTCAGGTTGTTCGGGAGGCCCAGGGACACGCTCTGGTTTCGGGGATCTGACATTTGTCTCAACGCAACACCACCTGCATGAGCCCCACCATCCCGCCCTTCTGCTGTCTGCCACCCTCCACAGCTCCCATTCCACGAGGCAGCTGCATTTTCACAGGCAGATCCAGGCTGGGGAAGGGCCAGGCCCTCTGCAGAGGAGGCTTCTCCCTCGCCAACACCATCCAGGCCTCCGGTCCCCCCTACTCTGGATTCACGGCTGCTTCTTGTCATTCTGCACTTTGTGGCAGGTCCTGGCAAGGACTGATGCCAGGGAAGCCAAACGATAGTGCTTAATCCGGGTGCTCTTCCTGCCACACTTCTCCCCTCTTCTCTCTCCCTAGGCTCCCACGCCAACAGGGGTCCGGAATCGGGGGAGTGGGAGGGGGGAGAGATGGGGCACAGAAGCAAATCGGGACAAGCTACGCTGTCTGCACTGTGCACGTTGGGGGCGTGCGCGTGGATGGGTGGATGGGTGGTGACAGGCTGACACCTCGGCAGAGAGCAGTTCGGGTCCTGATTCCCTCTCCCATCCCTCTGGTTCGGCACCAACGTCTCAGCCCGCCCCTCTCCCGCTCCCCACCCCCTCCCGTGCAGTTCCCGGAGGCGGACACGAGGTGGCGGTGTGAGGACACGGAAGGGGCGAGGTGCGTACCGAGCCACAAGGAAGAGGATGCAGCTGACAGCCAGATAGGCGAGAAGCATGAAGAGCCAGACGCCGGGAGAAAATGGGTCCAGGAAGGAGAAGTAGCCAGGTTTGCGTCCCTGGAAAGGGAGATAAAAACAAGATTCACCGTATATTCAGTCACTGTGGCCCTTGGCAGGGCAGAAGGTACAGGATGTGTGGGTCTGGCCCCAGATTTGCATTGCTTTGGATGCTGGGGGATTGGTTTAAATGACTCTGGGGCTGAAGGTGCAGAGGGGGCTGCTTCGAGACACCTACCCAGCCCTGTTCTCAGCAGATGAAACAGCAGAACAGGATGGGCCGTGTCCCTCCTGGGTTGAGTGAGGCTTTGTGCTGGGCGAGCGAACGGCCCTCTGCGCCCCCTTATCCTCAGGTCCTGCCCTGTGTCCTCCCAGGCTGCATGCTGGGAGCCAGAGTGCCTGAGAGCTGCTGATGTCTGCGGGGCTGGAACAGGACCGGAGCACCCCTCGTGCCACTCACACCTTTCTCATGAGGATGCTAATACGACAAGCATTTGGTTTTGCCTGCACTGGGTGATGTCTCACAGTGGACCTTCTCATAAACCTCAAAACGGTGGGTGCAAGGTACAGATTATTATTTTCACTTTGCCAGTGAAAAAAACCAAAGCTCAGGGAAGTCAAGAGATGTGTCCAAGGTTGCACAGCTAGTAAGTGGAAGAGCTGGGACTCAAACACACATTTTCTGACGCAAATCCCAGGGCTCATACCATGATGCTGTGGGAAACATGGTTTGCCCCAGCCCAGGACGGCTGCCCACGGCCCTAGGAGCTGAGGGACAGGGTGAGGAACAGAAATCTGGGCACCAAGTTCCCAGTAGTTTTCTGCAGGAAAGCAAAATGGAGTAAGAACGATGGATTTGACTAATCTGCTCCCAGTCTTTAGCTGTGCCATTTTTGGGCAAGTATATACTCCTCTCTGGCCTCAACTGGAGCCAGACAAGATCAAAGGTGAGACACCCGTGGTGTACAGACCACATAGAGCCCTGGGACAACCTGTTTGTTAACTAACCTTGCTGTGTCTACCTGGTTTGAATCGGTTGCTAACATTAAATGATGGGGAGATTTCATGCACAAAAAGCCAATTTCTGGCTTTTTAAAAACACTGGGGTGATCTGGCAACACTGGGTCCAAATTCCCAACTAGCTGCGGCTGAATGGTGGCTTCCCACTCGATAGGACCCGCTCTGTCTCTAAACCCCTGAGTTTCTCTGGGCAAATGTACGTGAATTCTGCGTCCCTGTGCATCCCGACTATTTCACTGTGTCTCTCAGTTGAGAGATATCCAGGAGGAAAAAAAAAAATCTTTTATTGTTGCTTGCTTTCTGAATCTGAAACCTCATTAGATGCTCAATGTCAGAAATCTATACCTGATTGTATCACAATGAGTGAAATTGAGGAAAATGACAGCACTATTTCAAGTTGCCATATTTGGTTATGGGTGATAAGGAATGATGCACAGCCATGGGAAAAATTTCTGGCGACTCAAGTTATAAAACACAGAACATCACACAAACAAGGATCAAGACATAAACACAGCTCTGCTGGAAACGTATCATTCACGTTGGCAAGGCAACATGTGATTCCACTTGTGATTGACTGACGCCAGCCAGAATAGCAAGGGATGGGCAGTCCCTGGAGTTTTGTGTCTGGGCTTATTCAGCCTTGGCTTCGGCTGCACGGGAGCCATTTCTATGATGCCAAAGAGAAGCATGTTACTTACAAGGCTCTGAGCGCCTACCATTTCTTCCTGTGCAGATGCCATAGATTGCTTCCTTCCCAAGAGACATCTCAGTTACTAGTGCTTGGGGCAAATCAAGTGTCACGTGCCACAGGCATTTCTTCCAGGTAATAGATTTTCTTAACGCAAAGGATATATGATGGTGATGCTTTTCTTTTGAACTCAAAATGCTTCGCTGTATTCTCTTGATTTCAATGCCCAGTTCTCCATATTGACAGACGGAAGAACTGAGACCCAGGGAGGTTAAGTGTCTTCCTCAAATCATTGGCGATGGCTTCAATTTCATGGTGCTCATTTGCCAAGCTGTGCCATAGGGATGCCATGGTCTCTCCCTCATTCAAATGGCAGCTGTACCTCATCTTCCTCTCCTTTTTATCTTTGCAATTTGCTCCAATAAACTCCCTAATTAATCCCACACTTTCTCCCCAATGCCAGCAGAATCCCAACCTATTCTATCTCACCCCTTTCAAGTACTCTTAAACATGATTTATTTATACCACCATTTATTGTGACTCTGCAGTATTTATAGTATTTGTAATGATGTGGACACATCTCTGTTGACTGCATTTTGGACCAGTTCCTTCTGATCAATACAACCACTTTGAAGGTAGACAATTAGTTATATATATAGTCTATGCCCCCAATGTCCAGGACAGGCCAAGCCCTGCAGATGGAATTGAAAATTAGATGGCACCAAAATTAGAACTGGTTCGTGACTTTCATCCTGTGCTTCAAACTGACCACACAGGAGCCAGCATCCTTGATGCTGTCTGATGGTGGCAGAGACCCAAAGGGCTGGTCACCAGCTCACCACAATCCCAGCTCGGTGAAGCCCCTCAAATGTCAGCAGTGGAGCTGACCGAGGAGATCTTATGAAGTGGCACTAAATTCCCCTTGCATGCTGAAAAATTCCTCTTATCCTTAAAAAAAAATAAGATCCTGTTAACTCACTGATACTTCATTCTGTGTGTACTGGAAGAAATAACATTACAGTAAGTGCAATTGCTTTCCCGGCGTCTGGAGCCAAATGCGTAAGGATACTGGAGCCAGGTAATGCTGGGCAGGTAGTGAATTAAAATACAGACCCTGGGGCCAGTCTGTCCGGGACTGAATCCTGGCTTTAGGACTTACAATTGTGTGACCTCAGGCAAGTTACTTAACCTCTCTGGGCCTCTAGTTCCTCTTCTGTAACATGGGAGTGATAATCAAACCTACTTCATGGGGCTGTTTTCAGAACTAAATAAGTTAACACACAGCAAGGGCTAGAGATGTGTCTGCTCCGTCTGTTTAATGGTAGCTGTGAGTCAAAGGTGGTATGAGACAAGGATGGAACTTCCTTTTATTCGGATTCTCCCTCAGTGGACAAGAAATACTATTTTCTGTCCTACAGTGACACATGCTAAAGATGGTTGTGGGTAGAATGCCACCTGACTACAGTCACTTTCCATAACTCGTAGAGTTTCTACAGGTCGTAATATATGAATCAGGAGGGTTCCCCCGGGGAAGCCAAGAAGGCCATGCCAGGTTCTCTTCTGGAAGGATGGCCCTTGCAAAAGGGCTTCATAAAGAAAGATGCCAGACAGATGTTAGAAGCCAGTGATTCCAGCCTTTGGAATTCAGTTCCAACTCAGCCTTGCCAAAGAAGTCACAGACAGTGAGTCAGATGTGTGGTGGACCCTCCTGGGTAAGGGCTGTGTACCCCGGTCACCATCTCCCTACACACAACCCAGCGATGTCAGCTCTCTTCCACCCCTGCCCCACCCCACCCCGGCAGAGCCGACCACACGGGCTCATCATGCCCTCCACGTGGTGTTGCCAGTCTTCAGAACTAAATGGCAGTTTATAGAAAGCTTTCTTTCAACTCCCAGCAGTAGTCAACAGTCAGAAAAGCACTGACTGAGAGATAAGAGAACACAGCCTCCATGACTCCCGGAAGGGGCAGAAGGAGGTGATTTTCTCTTGTCCCTCTCCAGGAATCCATGGATTGTCTTGGTGATATTTGGTTAGCATCCAATTCCCACCTCTGACTCCAAGAGGAAAAATGAAGGAAGCAAGCAATGAACTGCTCTTCACATAAAGCACCCAGATGGGTTTGTGCACTACTGGCATACTTATTTTCACTTTGCTGGTTGGAAGTCTGCTTTGAGGAGACCTAAGTTCTAATCCTGGTGCTGACCTTGACTCACCGAGTGATCTCAGGCAAACCACTCAACTTCTCTGGGTGCCATTTCTTCTTTCAGAAAATGGCGCACTGCAGTCAACATGAAGGGGGAGTGTGAGAATTACTACAGTGATGTCGATAAAACACCTGGAGCCTTTGAGAGAGGAACACTCAATAATTTACCAATATTAAAATGATTATACATTCAGGGAACCATATTTTCATTATATGGGCTATCATGCTACTTAGCGTTAAGGAATAGAACCCTATTCATTTTCTGTTTTCTTAGAGTATTAAGCAGTGTTAGAAATGATTCACTGGCTTACTTAGCATGGTTCTCCATTTTCCTAGACAGTCTTTCTGAAATGAAACAGACTTTCCTGAAAAATGGGTAATACAAAAATGGTGGGCATTAATTTAATGTTGGCATTTCTTTCTCTCTCACTTTTTAATCACTGTCTGCCTTAAAAAATTTTTTTTTTACCTTCTCAAGACAGAAGAGTTAAGCCAAGAGTTAAGCAGAGAAAAAGAACAGAATACAAAACTTTTCCATTTGTTAATCAAAGGGAGACAGGACATTTTAGGGGAAAAACAGTAAACCCACATTTTCGAGGGAGCCTTAGCTGCTTTGGCTGGCTGGGGATGCCACATGGGTCATAGATATTACCCTCTATGATACAATTAGATACAGTAAGAAACTATATGATTATAAAAGATCTTGAGAGATCACATGGCTTTGACACAGAGAAAGACACTTACTGAATCATAGAGATAGGTGGCTGGAAATGTATGGATTTGGAGACTGAAAACCTGGGTTCAATGCCACGTCCACCACTGTGCTATCTTTACCCTTCCCACTGCCCTGCTAGCCACCACCACCCTCAGAATCTTTCCAAGTAAAATGGGAATCAAACTACCTGCCTCAGGGGATTGCTGGACAAAGCCAGAAACTGCATGTAAAAGTGCTTCATAAAGAAAGAGATGCCAGACAAATGTTAGTCAACATGCAAACAACCTGGACATACACCCGTATCTCTTTAAATATGTCAACACTGAAGTTTTAAATGTGATTATCCATTTGGGGGCTATATGTGCCAAATGTTGAATCTCAGGTTGGCTTCTGGCATACTGTGATGACCCCTTGGTATGACACTCAGTGCATG